GTTCTGCTGTCGACGGAGGGCCGCGTTCCGGTTCTGCTGTCGACGGAGGGCCGCGTTCCGGTTCTGCTGTCGACGGAGGGCCGCGTTCCGGTTCTGCTGTCGACGGAGGGCCGCGTTCCGGTTCTGCTGTCGACGGAGGGCCGCGTTCCGGTTCTGCCGCGGACGAGGAGCTGCGTTCTGGTTCTGTTGCGGACGAACGGCTGCATTCCAAAGTGAGTTTGGAAGAGAGCATCTTGACGATAACGGATAGTGATAACAGCCACTTTGAGTACTGAAGCTTGGCGTGAGCGAAGCACAGTTTTTCCCATCGGTGGGCTTAGAATTTTCCCAGGAGGAATAAATTTCAGTGTCATGGAGTTTGTACGATCACTGGGGTCGTGGCGGAAATCTGACTTGAGCAATTCCCGCAACACAAAAGTGCCTCTCTCGAGGCCGGACTTGCAATAGCATAGTTCGCATTTTGGAAATGAGTGTAGCAGGTTGGGCTCAATCATCATTTCATACATGTTGTAACTTCAGAGGAACACATGTCGGTGTTTCGCAACAGGAAACTATGGTGAATTATCAGGAGGCATGAACATCTTATTTTTCATGGACTGTACTCTCTCCCACAGCTCTCCTGGTGCTATTCGCTCAAAGTTATCTGCAAACAGTCATCGCAACCTAATCCGGACTTCAAAGTTACATACACGCCGTTTCAATGAAGCATTCGTCCCGCTCTTTTTGCAGGGGACTTTCCGCAGAGTATTTCATGTAGATCAGAATTTATTTGCTCGGTGGTCATCTACCATGAAGGAACCTTTGCCGAGTTGTGACTGAGTGGTGGAAGCCCACGCTCATGCCAAGCGGGCGTCGGCTCGGCTTGGTGGCACAAATTCCCTCTCTAGTAGCGGCTTGAGTCTCCGTGATAGGACCTCCATCACTGCTCTTCGATCGAACGGGATGGGATCCACTACACCGATTGTGTCTCTGAGAGTGAATGCACGCATGCGCAAGTTGGGTATGTGTTCAATCGGGTTGCAGTGCAAGTCTTGCATCAACTTTGAAACGATGGAATTGACATCGTGAATCACACTTTTAATCGTAGCCATATACTCGGCAAACTCCGAATCCCCTCTGTTGCGTGACAACATTGAATGCTTCCAGAACTGAGACAGTTCCGTTTTGAAGTAACGAGAGAATGCTATTATAAGTCCATACGATGAGTTTGCCGCGTGGTATAGACCAGCGGATGCCGAAGATGCTTGTCCCGTACCTTATCAGTGCAACTTTGATCCTCTCATCCAGCAGAGTGTCTAAGTTCATGCTCGGACTTGAGTTCACCTCGAGTAGCCAAGCACGGAGGGACTCGTCGAAGATAACGTCGAAGCCATACAGCTCAAATGAGTTGACCTTGAAGCCTCAGGATGAAAACAAGTCGACTGTCAACACCAAATTCCATCGACAGTTTGGCCGAGTGGTCTAAGGCGCTGGCTTAAGGCGCCAGTCCGAAAGGGCGTGGGTTCGAACCCCACAGCTGTCAGACATTTCATCACTTGCTCCATGTAAGTCCTATCATGCATATTCTACCATTTCTGAGGGGTCGCAACGCTCACCTGGAAATTAATCATATGCTCGCACATGACCAGCGTCCTCACGACCACATCCTTGACCTTTTCCCAGAGTATCGCCCAGCCTATGCCTCTCTCCTCGAGTCGATCACTTAGATCTTCAAATGACAGCTTGGTACCTCGAAAAAAACACCGAGGCTCGATAACAAGCACGAGTTTACCTCCCAGCATGCGATGTTTATCATAAGGGAGACTGCCAGCATGTTTTCTCTGCACACTAGTATTCGTCAAATGCATGAGCCGATTCCTGTAATTTGAAGGGCTGGATGAATACTTCACCGTAGCGAGCCTAGCGAAACCTTCCTTGTAGATGTAACTACACCAAAGAGTCCTCTTCATCACATGATAATTTGAAACGATCTTTTCTTACGCTTCCAATGGATTGAAACTCATCACCAGGACGTAAACCCGGAGATCGAATTTGTACTCGTCTAGTAGCAACGGTTTCTCGATGTACTGAATGCGAAACAAAACAACGGTATTGGATTGTCCTCAGAAAGCCAACCCGGCATATGCACTAAGACAGCTAAGCGACTAATCGTCCGGGTTGATGAGCGCTACGCTCACATGTTGCATGTAACTCATTAAATTAACAGCTTCGAATCGAATTGAATTTAAGACGGCTAACCTCCTGGATGATGCTGGGCTCTCTGTAATGGACTTCGCTGATATCGGAGATGACGCTTATGCCTCTTCCACGCGAAAGGGATACAGGTTTCAATATCCACATAGTTTTTGGAGGGTCCCTAGAGCGATCGTAGTGACACACCCACCAGAGCCTTCGATCGTTTACAAGCTTCTGTTATTGGTGTAGGCGTCTACGAACTGACAGTAATCCCGAGGAAGAACAAACGTGTCGGGGATGACTCGGAAGGCTTCGACCATCTGGGGCCTTCGAGAGCCCGGTGGCCGTTTCACGTACCTATATCAGTGTGGAAGAATATGCATATGTGTCGGTAACTATATGGAAATTATTGTTGGTTTCTGTACACTTCTGCCCGAGTTAGTATATACTATTTGAGGGAACTCCTTAACTCAGCTGAGGGAAGCGAAGATCTATTCCTCCAATGCCGATTTGTCAACAGGCATAAGAACAGTAAAATTTGGACGCTCGGTGAGGTGCGAAGTGCTCCTAAACTCAGCTGAGGAAAGCCAGCATATTCCAACACCGGCCACATGCAAGTATGTCTGCAGTCACTGCAAACACCTGTGCACTGTGCACTCACCGATCGACACATCTTTTTAGGCAGTCTTTTCTGGTGAGGAATTTACTATCGGGGAAGTGGTTCACCCTCTGCCACACGAACAGCTTGTTGTAGTCGATGTTCGGCCGACCCCAGGTCCACAAGAGATTCCAAACCTATTAGCTGGGTATATCATTCGATACTGCGTGTGTCTTCTTACTGCTCCTATATGACATCCATGCGGTAGCTCTGCGTAGTTGTGATTTCCTGCTAGACTCCGCGACACGACGTCGTAAACCTCAACACGAGATTGAACAACCTGTCAGCGCGAGGAGAGCGTTCATAAGCACAACAACCGCCGATCGCAAAGCAATGGATGGAATATTTCATTCAAATATGAAATTTTCAGGAAATTTTTGAAAAAAAAGGCAAAATTTTTGCTCACTGAACGATCTACCTTGTAGTAGATCTGAGTGTCTGGGTTCGTTCTAGCTGGCGTTGGGGTACTCAGGGAAGGCTTCCCAACCAGAGTGTGACGAAAATCGGAGAAGTTGAAGATCTCGAAAGATCGAGATACATCACAGAAGTTCGCGTACATGAAAGAAACGAGAGTAGAAAAACATTTGTTGGTGACAATAAGGAAATTCTGCGGAAATTTCGGGAAATTTTCGTTGTTTTCTCAGAAAACAAAGAAAAATTCCAGAAAACTTTTCTGTACACTTCTATTTAGTGAGGAAACTCCGCTGAACTCAGCTGAGGAAAGCGAAGATATATATTCCAACTCCAACACTGGACAACCAGAAACTATGAGTGTTTGTACTCAAAACGCCCCCTTTCTTGTCAATGTGCGAATGTATGTTTGAATTCGTCAACCCAGCTCGTGAGCTTTCCTACTACATTTTGAAAATCTACATACGATTTTGAGAAAAGATGTAAAAAAACCATAATTTCCAATACATGTAGTTGACCATTGGTCATGAAGCGCAGTGGAAATGGCGGATCTCACCATCACTATAGAAATAGTAGGATTACAATATCCAGGAACTGCCTTGAACGATTCCTACAGTTGCAGAGTTTCCCTCAAGAACCGTTCGCGGACTTCTATCAGATCGTCTGACTTTCGTCTGGAATTCTCTGGAAAGGAAGAGTAGTCTCCTGGAGCCAGACTCCTGTCAACTTTTACTTTGTTCTTTCCCCCATGTGAAAATCTCAGCGAAGGTGGTGAACACTTCACTGTAGTCGAACGAATTTTCCTGCAAGTCGCAACTCACTTTGCCCTTCGAAACGTTCGCATTCTCCACTTCGTCAATTCCATCAGCAGTTTTTGAGTCTACTTCTTCTCCCAAAACGCCCTTGAAGTCGTTTTCAGTGACAGACCCTCGAAGAGTTACTTTGTCCTCTATCACCGCGCTTACACTCTCGTTTTTGTCACTTGCGGTGTCGTTGTTTTCATCATCGAAAACTCCTTCCTTTTCATCGCCACTAATCTCAACGAGTTCTCTTTGCATAGAAATGCTATCAGTCCCTTTTTCGCTGTGACCATCCTTTGCCGATTCGGATTGGTCAAGGGTGTCATGTGATCGGCTGGAGCTGGTCAGTCGAGACTCGTCACAACTGTCACTCTCCAATTCGTCCGAAATACTTCTGGCATCCAGGAAATTTCTTTTTGCCGCCTCCGTTATTTCGATCGTATCATCAGAGCTACTGTGCTCTACGAATTCACACTCTTCTTGTGAGTTTTCGAGCTTGGAAATTTCATCCACTACTTGCTGTTTTTTTCTGTTTTTTATTCGTATCCTCTTTGAAAATTCTCTCATACGTTCAACTTTTTTCTTCTTTTTGTCACTTTTTCTACCAACGATTTTGCATTTTTTCTTTTTCTGTTCTTTCGGTTTCCCAACCACAAAAGACTTCCCTTCAGCCGGACTAGGCCTCCACTTAGCGATGCTTTTTATCGTAAACCGTGGTGACTCCGTCGTAGGACGTTTTGCATCACTGACACTCGCATGCAGTGCTGAAATGTCCTCGCGTTCTGTCGTGTGATCGTGTTCACAGAATCTGAGATCCGACTGTTTTTTTGTTTTTCCTCACTCCAATGGAAGTTTGCCTTTTCATAATCTGCATTTGTAGATTTTCTGCGCGTCGGCGCTCCTCAAGTTCTCTTTGAATCAGCGAGCGAATCACTTGAGAGTTTTCCGTTTTCAAGGACTCTGAAAAAGCACAATATTTTCGAATTCCCATATGGTTTTGGAGTTTCACGACCGTGGTGATATGAAAAACACTAGTGAAAAACATATTTCACGACTACTGCATATCACCGCGAATATTGCGTTTTTCACGGAGTTTTACGCCACTTCACGTAAAACGGGTGATTTAACTCCATTTTGCTCCTCGTAATTCCGCAGTGTATGACAGTTGGACCGTATAATACAGTGTTGGGAAGAGCTCGACCAGAGCTTCCGAATGAATATCTTTTTCTGTTCATCAACTGTCACGCCCCGCGAAGTTTCAAGGAGTGGGCGCTTTTTTTGCACCACCCTGTAGTCTTGGATGAAC